GGGGGGGAGCAGCAGTCAAATCAAGTAAACAAAATATGTAGTCAGGTGGTAATAAGCGTCACAGAGAAAATAACAGAGTTAAAAGGAGCAGGAACCTCCTTCAACAGATAGTGCAGAGTGGTGGTCAAGGGCCCTGCCTTTGAGGAGCCCACAAGAGTGAGGATTATGGCCCTGCCATTTACCAGTTTGCAGCCTGGAGAAGCATGTACTTTTTAAAAATTTTTTAACAATTACTTAATTTTATTTATTATTTTAATTTGCTAAAGGCCACATGTGTTCACCAGAGAGAGACAGAAAGAGGGAAAGTGAGAAAGCAAGCTGTCAGATCTGGAACTCAAACCAGGGTCAGCCATGTGGGAGTCCAGCACCTTAACTACCGTGCTACCTGCTGATCCCAAGCATGTCCTCCCTTTGCCTCAGTTTTGTTATCCATAATAATGAGGATAGCAGTACTTATGGCAGAAGTACTGTTAGGAGAATTAAAGATCATACTTCTTACAAAGTACTTATGACTCCATGTCATGTGATGTAAGGTGGACAGAACCTGTTATTTATTTGAATAGTAGGATTTCTCATTTTAATCTGTTGATCATCTACACTTTCTTTTCGTAAGCCCTCTGGAGAGCAAGGGATGGAGGAAACTTTTTTTTGTCATTGCCTTTGATCATATAGCTCATTTTTTAAAAATGAGGAATTTGGAAAGACTATTAAAAAGTGATGTAGTGGGACCAGCAGTTAGCGTAATGGCTATGTCGCTGGACTCCCACGTAGTTGATCGTGGTTTGCGTCCTGGACCCGGTGGCTTAAAACTCACGCCGTGGGCGTGTGCGTGCGTGCCCAAGATCCCGAGAGGAGAATGGAGGAGAAGGGATTGCGGCGTGGCCATCCCCCCTGGGGGGTGATTTCTCGCTTTCTGTCTCTATGTCTCTCTGTCTGTCTGGCGAGCGCACGTTCCCTATAGTGAAAACCTCTCCAAAAAACGAGAAAAAGAAAAGCGATGTAGTTGGGATCAGCAGGTGGTGTGGTGGTTAAGGTTCTGGACACTCCCACATGGCCGACCACAGTTTGAGTCCCGGACCTGGTGGCTTGCTTACTCACTTTGTCTCTCTCTCTCTTTCTCTGTCTCTCTCTTGTCAAATGAAAATAAATGAATTAATAAAATTTTAAAATAAAAGTGCGATAGCAAGAAAAGTATTTCAATAATATTGGGTCATCAGAAAAGGCATGATGCATTTTTACATAGAAAAATATAGAGAAAATTCATCATGCCTTTTCTGATGACCCAATAATTTGCTAGTGGTTTGAAAGTCCATTGCTTAGTTTTTCAGGTAAATTACACAGATTTCAGTTGGATGTGCAACATTTTGCAGTGCGGAATTATCCAATCATGGCTAAATATGAAGTACTATTCAAAATTTAGTGGGATCAGTAGTTTAGGAGATAATCTATTATATTGTTAGTATTTTGCCTAAAAACTTTGCTTGAGTTAGGGAGGGAGGTGAGGCACATTCTCAATAGGGTCCCCATCCGGAATTCTGTCCTGCCCCCTGCTTTGCCTTTTTTCCCTGTTGGAGAACTTGTCCCTTGACATTTCACAATTCTCACAGTCTCCCTTGAACTGTGTAGGTTTTAGATGGTGCTGACAGCCAGTATGGGAGCATGCAAATTGGACAGCCCCAGGATGAAGATGAAGAAGCAGCAGGTGGTCTCCCTGATGAAGCCTCCACTGCTTTCAGAAACTCTTCCATTGGTATGGTTATTTCATGTGATGCTCTGCAAAATAGTCTTATCTTCAGTCCTGGAAATTTTAATTTTATTCCTAAGAAGAAATCTTTGGACCTCTTTATTTTTTGAGTTATAAGTAGCAGATGAAAGTGACTAGTTGAGGAAAGTCCATGCATTTTCTTGATCTAAATTTATATTTTTATATTGTCGTTGTTTAAATACATACATTTGGGCCCAGCAGATGGCATTATGGTTACATTGCTGAACTCCTATGTAGTCTCTACTGTGGTTCGAGTCCTGGACCTGGTAGCTTAAAACTTACGCTGGGCACGTGTGCATGGCTGCCCAAAATCCCAAGAGGAGAATGGAGGAGAAGGGATTGTGGTGTGGCCATTCTCCCTGGGGGGGCGATTCTCGCTTTCTGTCTTTCTGTCTCTCAGTCTGTCCAGCGAGTAATGTGCCCTATAGGAAAAATTCTCATATATACATATATACATACATACATACATAAAATAATATAAAATAACATATATTTGTGTCTTAATTAGAAATTTGTTACCTAATCTTGGTTTCTTTGTTTTTGAAGCTCTTCAGCAAGCACATTTATTGAAAAACATGGGTCATAGCAGGCAGCCATCTGACAGTAGTGTAGACAAGTTTGTATTAAGAGATGAAGCTGCTGGACCAGGTGATCAAGAGAACAAGGTAAGGAAATTAGGCATGAGACATCTCAGCATTTCTGAACTCACGTGAAGGTTCAAAATCACCCTAGCTACTCTCTGCCTGGTTTGTTGCTTTTCCATCTTGGAGCTTTTGTTATTTTTGCTTTGAATGCTGACCTCCTTCCAGTCCTGCTGTTCATTTCTGCTTCTTCAGGTACTACCCAGATCCTTAAGAATTGCCTGAGTTCTGCTTCCTAGGGCTTTTTCGTTTGCTGAAATAGATTCTGCTCATCTTGTAAAAGACTGCTTGCACTTTTCTCTCCTGAGCAGCCATTTCAGAATGTCTGTCCCCTGCTGCCCTCCTACCCAGTGTGCTCTCCTTGCATGCTGAACTCATCCCCTGTGACCCTGCGTCATTACCATCTGTGCTTTGTCTTTGGCTTCACCAGTCATCTCCATGAGGTCAGACATGTATATAGGCAACGATAGGCATCTCTGTGTCCCCAGTATTGGCATAATTGTTGTGCTGGAACCATGTGTTGAATGAACTAATGAAGACATGTATTGGTTCTTTGGTCAAAAGACAAGTGTCTGCTTTTCTGTTCTAGCCTTGCCGAGTCAAAGGTGACATAGGACAGTCTACTGATGATGATTCTGCTCCTCTTGTTCATTGTGTCCGTCTTTTATCTGCTTCGTTTTTACTAACTGGGCAAAAAAATGGTAAGTGTGGAAGGGCAGATACACAGTGGAAGAAATACCTTGAAGTGGGGGTGGCAGGTGGCATGGTGGTTAAGGCAGCTGGATTTCCACATGGCTCACTGCAGTTCAAGTCCCAGACCTGGTAGCTTGCTTTCTTGCTTACCTTCTCTCTTTGTCTCTCTCTGGTCAACTTCAAAAAAATAAAATAAAATAGTGACAATGAATAAAATTGAATAAAAAAATTCTTTTAAAATAAAAAAGAACTTGAAGTTTCCAAGGTCAACTTGGTGGTCAATTTTTGTCTCATTCTTGCAACAGAGGCAGTAGAACATGGAATAAGCCTGGGTTTTACTGACTGATGGGAAGAGGGAGGAATGAGGGGAAGTAGTATATTTGATCTAGTTTTGTTTATTTGAAAATGAAATGTCAGCTACTCTGATACGGTCTGGGTGGTTTCTTCACAGCACTGGTTCCAGACAGGGACGTGAGAGTCAGTGTAAAGGCTCTGGCACTCAGCTGTGTTGGGGCAGCTGTGGCCCTTCATCCAGAATCTTTCTTCAGCAAACTGTATAAAGTACCTCTTGACACCATGGAGTACCCTGGTATGTTAAAAATTTACATCTTTTTCTTCAAATTCAATCGTTTTAAAAACTATTCAAAATAATCTTGCCTATTTTAATTTTAGAGCAATAAGTATTTTGAGTTAATTTGTGTTATTTGAGCTGTGTTGTATCTTTCCATAAGACCTAAATATTAATAGTGTTTCTATTGATAGTTTCATGAAATCCCTTTAGCTACTGTGTTCCTAGTTGAAACATACAAAACAAAAGGTAGGAATCTGAGAACTTAAGAGCCAGTTTATATACATATTGAATTTAAACCTAAAGCACAAACTGCACACAGTCAAAATTGTTCTGAGTCACACTCAGCTAGGCCAGACATTCAGTCTCACGTGTAAATGGGAACTGAGATTGACCAAGGCAACAGCAGCCTCGTTTCCCCTGCTGCACACCCATTCATTATGGAGTGGAGGTTGTCCTCCTGGCTCTTACTCTTTGGATAAGAGGGCAGATTTATGGTTTTGAGTTTACATTAGGTAAGTATATAAGAGTTTGAATTTTTATAATCTTTTTCTTGAAAAGAAATTGGAATTTCGATGATTATCTCACAACCGGGAATTGTATTTGAAAGATAATAGCAATAGATCAATCTCAAATCCTTAAATCCAGAAACATTTTTTTTTTTTTTAACCACTTAAGCTTCTTACAGTCAAGTCATTTCTAGATTTGGATAGTGCCATACCTTTTCTCTTTCCTAGAAAATAAGCTTTTATTTTGAGTTAGAAAGTTTATAGTATGCAGTTATACAGTGCTGGGCAATTTATTTCCACAGAGGAGCAGTATGTCTCAGACATCTTGAACTACATCGATCACGGAGACCCACAGGTCAGAGGAGCCACTGCCATTCTTTGTGGGACCCTTGTCTGTGCCATCCTCAACAGGTCCCGCTTCCAGGTGGGAGACTGGATGGGCACCATAAGAACTCTGACAGGTAACGCACTGCCAATTTTTCAGTAATGTTCCTTCTAAGATATCATTCCCAAGTTGAAGCTTACATGAAGGTTTTTTTTTTTTTTTTTTTTTGCTTATTTCCTGATTAGGAAATACATTTTCTCTGGCAGACTGCATTCCTTTGCTTCAGAAAACATTGAAGGATGAATCTTCTGTCACTTGCAAGTTGGCATGTACAGCTGTGAGGGTGAGCAAAACTTTTGTGGAAATTATTGCTTCGATTAGTGGACATTTTTCTTTTTTAGGTTTTTGTTATAGGGTGCGTCTGCTTGCCAGAGAGAAAAGTGGGAAAGTGAGGACTCACCCCCTAGAGGGAATGGCCATACTGCAGTCCCTTCTCCATTTTCCTCTAGGCATTTTAGGCACATGCGCACATGTACCTGGTATGATTTTCAAGCCACAGGGTCCAGGACTCGAACTGTGGTCAGCTATGTGGGAATCCATGCCACCTGTTGGTCCCATGGATGTTTTCCTATTGTTACAATTTTAGTAGGGAATTATTTCCATACATTCTAAAACTATAAACAGTAATACCCTGTGTCTGTCACTCAGCTTTAGAAAGAAAATGTCAATATAATGAAAGCCTAATAAACTTTAATTTCTATTTTGTTTTGTTTTTGTTAGAAGGCACATGTTCTTGGTAGAGAGTCTCAGAGAGGGAAAAAGAGAAGACACTCCCAATGGGGAATGGCCATGTCATAATACCTTCCCTTCCATTCGTCCTTTTCTTGGGATTTTGGGGATGCATACACATGTACTGACTGTGTTTCTGGACTTGCCAAATCTAGGACTCAAACTGCACAGTTGGCCATGTGGGATCTGCCTGCCTTAATCACTGGGCCATGGAGCTGGCCATAGTTTAATTCTTATAATATTTGTTTGAAATACACCGTTTCCTAAAGGGTATTTAGAAATATACTTTGCTATCAAGTGTAAAATCTGTTGAATAAAAGAAGAAATACTGTCTAGGCACATAGAATGTTAAGAGTTAAAGTAAGCCTTAGGGATTATTTAATCGACCTTTTTCTTTTCTTTTTTTTTTTTTTTGGTATCAAATGGAATAACTTCAATTTTTAAGTGAACCTTTACTTATCAGCTGGCTCTTAAGTCACAACTGATCAGTCAACAACAGTAAAAATTAGACAGTAAAAATCAGAATGAAAACCCTTTTAATCATCACATTTGTGGGATACATCCCTTTTTAAAATTTCATGTCCTGACAGGAATTTTTCTTTAGTTTCCATTTTTTGCCAAGTTACAGTTAGTCGTGTCTTTTCTTATGCAGGAGGAAGTGTGTTGGCAGCACATTGTGTTGCTGGCCAGGTGTTAACATGTATCAGCCACAAGTGATAGTGTCCCAGGTATTTGGAGGCTGCAGGAAAGGGGGTACAGCAGTACATTACTTGTTCTGTTCCTTCGTGCATTCAAGTACATGGTAATATCCATGGGGTGATTCTTGGAGTGGGTCCCTTGTTCTTACCCTGGATCTGAGGTTTTATTTAGAAGTGGTAATAGAGCTATGTGGTGGCCTTCCTCTTTACCTCAGAGTAGAGGCCATGACATGGGCAAGAATGGGAGGATGAGTGAAACAACATTGTGTGAAAGGGATGCACAGTGTTAAGCTTGTATTTGTTGTAGAAAGCATAATCATTTCTGAAAGACGTGGAAAAAGTATAACATTCTTGTTGCAGTTAAAAAAACTGCATTTATGCCTGTGGTTTAGAGCTGATGGAAGGCTGGCATTGGATTGTGGTGTCAAGATATTAAAGGTGCTGTCTATCTGTTTCTCTTATTAATGGAAGAAACAAATAAACATTAAAAACCACCACAGAGTAGGACAGTATGATAACCTAAAACTGTTGAGGTATAGCACTCACGGTGTGCTAAGCCTGATGCTCCTACCCTGCATGCACCTTGTTTTTCAGCACTGTGTCATGAGTCTCTGCAGCAGCAGCTACAGTGAGTTGGGGTTACAACTGATTATTGACCTGCTGGCTTTAAGGAATAGTGCCTATTGGCTGGTGAGGACAGAGCTGTTGGAAACTCTTGCAGAGATTGACTTTAGGTAAGTAGATTGAGTTCATTAGGTTTAATGAACTGAGGCTCAGAGATTTGAGCTGAGAATGAAGGGTTCTAAGGTCAATTAGTGGCGGTTATTAAGTAATCTGTCCATCAGAAATCTGAGAAGTTTTAGTATGTGATGAATTTTCTCTTTCTGAGTAACTTTTTGATCAACTTTATCTTATACTTAGAATTAAAAAAAATTTTTTTTAAGTTTTTTTGCACTCACTGGGGAGAGACAGAGAGATAAGTCAGATATTACCCCTTCCCTCCAGGGGAGATGGCTACACCACAGTCTCTTCTCCATTTTCTTTTTGGGATTTGGGCATGCATACAAACATGTCTGACATGTTTTTCAGGCTGCTAAGTTCAGGACTGGAGCCACAAAGTCAGCCATGTGGGATCCAGTGCCTTAACCACCATACCACCTGTTGGCTCTATACTTGGAATTTTAAAATACAAGTAGAGGAGTGGATTTTTCTGGTAGTCTTAGTCATTTAAGTGTTACGGATGGTGGGAATAAAAGAGCTGTGGATATTTTTTTTACCTTATCTTAAACTTAAAAAAAAGTCGGTTCTGCTTGTTTAAGAATTAATTCACATCATACTCAACTTAGGCGAGACAAAGGGTTATATTATATTTCGTTATGGTTGAAAAATAACTTTTGATGTGTTGCAACTTCCTTTGTTTTTTTCTTTGAAAGAGATTTTTGCTATAGGGGATGTGTGCTCGACAGAGAGACAAAGATGGAAAGCAAGAAGTCACCCCCTGCTTCCCCCAGGGAAGGATGGTCATGCTGCAGTTCTTTCTCCATTCTTCTCTAGGGACTGTGGGTGTGTACACACACGTGCCTGGTGTGACTTTTAATTCACTGGGTCTGGAACACGAACCACCATCGATGTGTGAGTCCAGCGATGTAACCATTATGCCATCTGCTGGTTCCTGAAACTTTCATTTTATGAGAGTAAATTTTAGTGAGGAATCTTTTCTTTAAATACTTCATTTTTAAAAGGAAATTTACCTTTATTCAGGTTTTTTTTTTTTTTTTTAGCCACTTACAGAGACCTTGCAGTTGTTTTTGTTTATCCTCAGACCATCTCTGTGAATCCGAGATTGTTCTTAACATCATTCCTCAGATAGAGTGAACGTAGTTGGATGAGCAACTGGTCAGCAGGTGGGAGTTGTTTAACTTACCTGCTCTGCCATCTGCTCACTGTCTTCTATGGTCAGTGTTTCAGCTTATGCGAAATATTATAGATGTTTATTTTGAAGAAAAACAGTTTGCTGATTATTATCTTATTGAGTCTGGGATTGAGAGAGGATTGTACATTTTGTTTATTTAAAACTACTGGTCTTCCCTGTCATTTTGAATAAGTGTTACATCTGAGAGCCTTCCAGGGTGCTTGGGTCAACCTGTTCTGGAGCAAGCTTTCTTCATTGCTCCAACTGTTGGGAGTTTCATGGGTTGGCATTGAGTGAATGTTGAGTAACTAAATGGTTTTATTGTTAAATATGTTCTTTTGTTAGGTTGGTGAGCTTTTTGGAGGCAAAAGCAGAAAGCTTACATAGAGGGGCTCATCATTATACAGGGGTAAGCAGTTAATTTTTGTGAGACCCTGCTTTACCTTCCAGGAATTTCATGTCAATAGGGCTTTCCTAATTGTGAGAAATGTCTTGTAATAACATTAATTGTTTTATATGGGAAGTTGGCTATTAAATAGGTGGAAGTTAAGAGCCTCAGATCCATTGCTCAGTATTAAATTAACATATAACTGGGAAAAAAAAAAAAACAACAAACTTCAGACCAGGATTTCCTCAAAACTTAAATACTAATAGCCTATTGTTGACCAGAAGCTTTACTGATAACATAGTCAATTAACACATATAGTGTATGTTATAGTAGTTATATACTGTGTTTTACGAGAAGTAAGCTAGAGAAAAGATAATGTTATTAAAATCTACTTATCAATGTGTTATTTATTGGAAACAGTCTGCATACAAATGGACCTCTGCAGTTTAAGTATGTTACTCAAGGCTTAACTGTATTGCACAGTTTATATCATGAAAGTTGTGTTTGTATGGTGTGATTTTAGGGCTAGTAATGTTGAGTTCTTCCTAACTAGTTTTTCCAAATATTACACGCAAAATACAGAGATTATATCTACTTTTATGATCTTTCTTTCTAAAGCTTCTAAAACTGCAGGAACGTGTTCTCCATAATGTTGTCATCTACTTACTTGGGGATGAAGACCCCAGGGTGAGACATGTTGCTGCAGCATCGTTAATGAGGTAATTGCCAATATTTTATCTCTTTATTTACTTTTTTGGTTAAAAAAACTAGATAGTGTGAGGATGGGGTGAGAGAGAATAATTAAAAGGATATTAGGTAGTATTTTTGAGTTTTTTGAGCTAATTTTTAGCCATTCTGTGTCTTTTTTGTTTGTTTGTTTATTTGCTGGAGCATGGATACACTTACAACAGAGAGAAAGGGAGAGGAGAAAGGCGAAATTATTCCCCTCATGGGGAATGGTCACATAAGCAGTCCTTTACCCCTCCATCTCTTCCTCCTTTCAGGATTTTGAGTATGCATGTGCCTGCTGCAGGTGTGTTTCTCACACTGTCAGTTCTGGGACTGTCCAGCTGCCTTAACCATTAGGCTATAGAGGTGGCCCAGTAGTTTCTGTTTTTTTTTTTTTTTGAGAGATTTTCACTGTAGGGCGCGTGCGCTCGCCAGACAGACAGAGAGAGACATAGAGACAGAAAGCGAGAAATCACCCCCCAGGGGGGATGGTCACGCCGCAATCCCTTCTCCTCCATTCTCCTCTCGGGATCTTGGGCACGCACGCACACGTGCCCAGCATGAGTTTTAAGCTACCGGGTCCGGGACACGAACCGCGGTCGACTACGTGGGAGTCCAGCGACATAGCCATTACGCTAACTGCTGGTTCCCAGTAGTTTCTGTTTTTAAATGATTAAAAAAAATCACTACCATAGAAGTCTAAAATGATCATTTAAAAAATAGAAATAAGATATTAACCTGCCATTATAAAAGTAATGTACTTTTATTGTCAAAATTTTAGAACATAGAGAATAGCACTAAGAAAATAGAATCACTTTCAATTTTACAACTTTACAAACACTTTCTGATTTTTATTCTGTATATGTTGTTTAATCAGAATTGGATCAAAATGTACATGCAATCTGATAAGTTTTATTTAACATATTATTAGCATTTCCTGTTATCAAATACTATTCTAAATCTGGAATTTTATTTGTTGGCCATATGTGATTGTGGTAAATTTTTATACAAATATCGTTTTGTTGAATATTAAGTAGTTTTAGATTTGAATGTTTGTGTATAATTTTTTTCTGAGAATTAATTCAAAGAGGTGAGTTATTGGGCCAAGCTGTTTAAATTTTGAACATTTTTCTAATAGCTTTATTGAGTTATAATTCACACCATTTGAAATTTACTTGTTTAAGTATATAATTCAACAGTTTTTAATAAATTTAGAGAGTCACATAACCATCACTAATAAATTTTAGAAGATTGCCATTACTCCATAGAGATTTCATCTGCCAATTTGTAGTAACTCCTAGTTCCAGCATCAAACCCAGGTCTTTAGAGAATGACTTGTTCTGGACATTTTGGATAGGTGGGGTCATTCTATAGATGTACTTTTGCATCTCACTTCTTCTGCTTAGTTTTTGAGGTTCATCCATTCTGTTCATGTATCAGGAATTTGTTCCTTTTTATTACTGAATAGTACTATAATATGAGTAATGTCATATATGTATTTTCAGCAGATGCTGGACATTGTTGTGTCTACTTTCTGGCTATTATGAATCATGCTGTTGTGAACATTTGCCTATAAGACTTTTATAGATATATGTTTTCATTTTTCTAGAAGTAGATTTTTAAAATAATTTTTGGTATTTAACAGTTATAGTCCACGCCAGAATATAATTGTGCCTGATTTTTCTCAGCAATATGAATAATTCCAGAAAAGTTATTATGTGCCAATTCTTTAGGCAGAAGTTAGTATTTATTTTTTTTTCAAGGAATTATTTATTTTTAATTTTATTATTATTTTAAAATTTACCATAGGGTACATAGGCTCACAAGAGAGAGAAAGAAAGTGAGAGAACAAGTCACCAAGTCTAGGACTTGAATTATGATTGGCCATGTGGGAGTTCAGGACCTTAACCACTGCGCTACCTGTTCGCTCTGATATTTCTTTTTAAAATAACTTTAAAAAAAGGGAATTATTTATCCAATTTTATTTATTGTTGTCATTATTATTATTATTATTTAATTTGCTATAAAGCAGGTGAGCTCAACAGAGAGACTCAGAGAGAGGAAAAATGAGAAAGCGAGCTGCCAGGTCAGGGTCTTGAACCACGGCTGGCTATGTGGGAGTCCAGCACCAATGCACCTTCTGGCCCATAAAGTAATTTTTATTTTGTTTTAAAAGTAATCTTTACAGAACAAAATTTAGGGAAATACAAGTAAGGAAATGGAAATGTAATTAACCTGACAGAAAACCGGTTACATTTTGGTGCATACCCTTTCAATTTTCATTAGTGTAATTTGCATTTATTTGATTATTTTTGAGGTGCACTCTTTTACTTACCTAATAGGTTTGTATGACTTGCCTAATCAAACATTTTGGAGCTTTACCATTTTCTGCACATGTTAGCAACTTTAAAGGTATTGGGACTTGCAAATCTATATAGAATATTGATAATTGCTTGTTTCCGGAAGTGTGAGTATACTCAGGCAAAATAGGCACTAAGAATTAATTGCAGAAACAAGCCCCTCTGTTCTTTGTAGGAAAATATTTTTTGTATTTTATCTTTGAGTTCAGTTTAGATGTGTTAGGGATCTCAACTGGAGCTTTGCTGTTGAGAGTTTATGGGATGGTTTTACAAATAGAGCTGCAAAAATGCTTATAGGACAATCATTGGCATTCAGGTCTGTTCCGTGCCAGGTACTCTCTGGACAATAACTTGATGCACATGTTGATCAGAAGGTTCAAAAGTGATCTTTCAATGTTGATTTTTATTGTAATTAAGGCATTTAATTATATGTAAAGAAATATACTTAATTTGTGACTCCAAAAAAAAAAGTACAGCAGGGAGTAGATGCGTGGACAAGCGGTCCCAAGATTGGAGATGCCACCTCTGAGAGAAGAGGTATCCATTGGTGGAGAGCTGTTTAGGGGTAACCTGGAGAGATGGAGACATAAACACACACATAGATAGACAGAGAGAGAGATAGAGAGATAGCTAGCTAGATAGTTTCATATGCTCCTTTCTGCTGAGTAGCTATGTTTTTAAAAACTGACTGAATCACTTCTGAACTTAAATGATTACTTGATGCTTTCATGCTTTTTTTAAGTCAGTCAACCTTATTTTTATGTTAGGCTCGTCCCAAAACTGTTTTATAAATGTGACCAAGGACAGGCAGATCCAGTAGTGGCCGTGGCAAGAGATCAAAGCAGCGTTTACTTGAAACTTCTTATGCATGAGACGCAGCCACCTTCCCACTTCTCCGTCAGCACAATCACCAGGTATACCGAGTCTCCAGTGTCTTGACTTTGTCAGGAAGTTGTGCCATTTTCTGATACCTTTCTTTATGCTTTAATTTAAGACATTTTATTTTTTGGAAAGAAAACTCTAGACCAGAATGTTTCAGTAGCTCATCTATTTTATTTTTTAAATTTTAATTCTATTTGTTTTATAATTTCTCACATTTGTTATACATCTTTGTAGGGTACAATTGTATCTTGTGTGTGACTCTCAAGCATTAAGGGAAAACCTATCCATTAAAATTTCTGACTTTATTTGTGTTTTCTTTGAAGAAGATAGTATTTTATCATGCCTATTAATTTGTCGGTGAGTGGGCTTAAAAAAGTATCAGTGCTACTAGGGCCATGCACTAGTGCAGTGATATGCAGTAATGATTATTCACATCTGTTGTGAGAGCTTTTGATTAGTATCAAATGGATATATTAATATATTGTATATATATCCCATTCTCATCTGATCCTCAGGTGAGTAGAATAGAAATGCTTTAATGAATTTTAATTTTCTTCAGAATTTTAGTTTGCAAAGAAAATTGCATAAGAGGTAATATTGTGCCTTTTTTTTTTTTTTTTAATAAGAGATTTTTGCTACAGGGCATGTGTGCTCGCCAGACAGAGAAAGACAAAGCGAGAAATTAGGCCTCAGGGGAGATGGCCTTGCCTCATTCCCCTCGTCTCCATTTTCCTCTTGGAATTTTAGGCATGCATGCACATGTGCCCAGTGTGTTTCAAGCCGCCAGGTCCAGGATTTGAACCACAGTTGGCCATGTGGGAGTCTAGCACCTTGACCACTATACCACCTGCTGGTCCCAAGATTATTGTGTTTTAACTCTCTTTCAATTTTTAAAAACCTAGACTAAATGAATTTTTAGAAAACATTGTATTCATTGTCATTATTTTATTTTTTTGAGGTTGACCAGAGAGAGACAGAGAGAGAGATGGAAACTGAGAAAGCAAGATGCCAGGTTCAGGACTTGAACTGTGGTCAGCCTTGTGGGAGTTTACCCACCTTAACCACCACGCCACCTGCCAGCCCATGGACTACATGATTTCTAAGCTTAAGTGTTTATTTGATAACTTTTTTCTTGAATTTGAAACTCAGTTTGTCGAATTTTGAAGTTGCTATTCCTAGATCAAATATTTTCTCATGTAAAGACTGCTAAATGTATACATGGAAGTAATTTTTTGGTCACCTTATTATTTTTCTGTTAGAGAGACGTCTGTTTAACTTGAGTACTAGCGTTTTCTCTCCGAAAAGATTAAAGATAAATATTCTTGGGACCAGCAGTTAGCGTAATGGCTGTGTTGCTGGACTCCCACATAGTTGACTGCGGTTCGTTTTCTGGACCTGATGGCTTAAAACTCATGCCGGGCGCGTGTGTGTGAGTGCCCAAGATCCCGAGAGAAGAATGGAGAAGGGATTGCAGTGTGGCCATCCCCCCTGGGGGGGTGATTTCTCGCTTTCTGTCCCTCTGTCTGTCTCTGTCTCTGTCTGGTGAGCACATGCGCCCTATAGCAAAAACCTCTCCAAAAAAAGAAAAAAAAAAGATAAATATTCTTTAAAGATAAGTAGAAACAGCGTAAGAATATTTTATTATCAGGATTTTGATAGTCTTAGAGTAAATTGTTGTTTCTCAGTGTCATTTCAGAAGGTGAATACTTAGATTCCCACAGAGATAAGTGTAGTATTTCATTGGTTGCTAACTGCTACTTTGAAAATTTTTCCGGTTCCCAACTTCAGCTGACCTCTTGACATTCAGCCATGCTAATTTGGCTCTTGCATGATAAACATAATTGTTAATTATGCAGCCATATTTGCTGCTTATGTATCTACTCTGTTAGAAGTTATGTGAGAAGATAAAATCATAATCTCCTGGAGGCCAGCAGGTGGCATGGTGGTTAAGGGCATTGGACTCCCACATCGCTGACCGTGGTTCAAGTCCTGGACCTGGCGGCTTTCTTTCTCGCTTTCCCTCTCTCTCTCGCTCTGTCATTTTCGGGTCAAATTTAAATCAATAAATAAAGTTAAATAAAATAATTATTTAAAAAATATATTAAAACCTTAGCATTTGATCATCAGAATAATACTGTAGTTGATCATGAAAATAAGTTTATAAGAAAAAAATCATATTCTCCTTAGATTGGTTTCTGTACCTCTGTGTACAAGTTACTGTGAGGGATACAAAAGTGAATTAAAACCCAACTGTGGTTAGACACTGCTGCTTTGCAGGCTGTCTACATGGGAGGCCCGGGTCCAATTCTGGCCCAGCTTCAGAAGCAGAGCCCAGTGATGTGCCATATGTAATCTCACCTACTCAGTAGGCTGAGGCAAGAGGATAGCAACATAGTGAGACCCTGTCTAAAGTACCACACAAAATGCACACACAGAGATACATTTATTTTTAATTTGCTATAGGGTACTTGGTGCTTGCTAGAGAGTCAGAGAGTGTGGCCATCCCCCCTGGGGGGGTGATTTCTCGCTTTCTGTCCCTCTGTCTGTCTCTGTCTCTGTCTGGTGAGCACATGCGCCCTATAGCAAAAACCTCTCCAAAAAAAGAAAAAAAAAAGATAAATATTCTTTAAAGATAAGTAGAAACAGCGTAAGAATATTTTATTATCAGGATTTTGATAGTCTTAGAGTAAATTGTTGTTTCTCAGTGTCATTTCAGAAGGTGAATACTTAGATTCCCACAGAGATAAGTGTAGTATTTCATTGGTTGCTAACTGCTACTTTGAAAATTTTTCCGGTTCCCAACTTCAGCTGACCTCTTGACATTCAGCCATGCTAATTTGGCTCTTGCATGATAAACATAATTGTTAATTATGCAGCCATATTTGCTGCTTATGTATCTACTCTGTTAGAAGTTATGTGAGAAGATAAAATCATAATCTCCTGGAGGCCAGCAGGTGGCATGGTGGTTAAGGGCATTGGACTCCCACATCGCTGACCGTGGTTCAAGTCCTGGACCTGGCGGCTTTCTTTCTCGCTTTCCCTCTCTCTCTCGCTCTGTCATTTTCGGGTCAAATTTAAATCAATAAATAAAGTTAAATAAAATAATTATTTAAAAAATATATTAAAACCTTAGCATTTGATCATCAGAATAATACTGTAGTTGATCATGAAAATAAGTTTATAAGAAAAAAATCATATTCTCCTTAGATTGGTTTCTGTACCTCTGTGTACAAGTTACTGTGAGGGATACAAAAGTGAATTAAAACCCAACTGTGGTTAGACACTGCTGCTTTGCAGGCTGTCTACATGGGAGGCCCGGGTCCAATTCTGGCCCAGCTTCAGAAGCAGAGCCCAGTGATGTGCCATATGTAATCTCACCTACTCAGTAGGCTGAGGCAAGAGGATAGCAACATAGTGAGACCCTGTCTAAAGTACCACACAAAATGCACACACAGAGATACATTTATTTTTAATTTGCTATAGGGTACTTGGTGCTTGCTAGAGAGTCAGAGAGAGAAAGAAGGAAAGTGAGAAAGCACCCCCCTACACCCCATGAGGGATGGTACACTACAATCTCTTTTCTTCTGTTTCTCCTTTTAGTATTTTGGGAACACATGTACATGAACCTAATGTGTTTTTCAAGCCACTGGGTCTGGGACTGAACTGTCTAGTCAATTATGTGGGATCCATCTGCTTTAACCACCGTGCCCCATGGATGGCCCCATAAATCACTTTTAAAAAAGAGATCAAATGTGAACTCTGTGTGGGTTTTATTTAAACAGCTGGAGAATTAAAATACGCATGTTACTATTAGGTTGTCAGGAAAGTCATGACATATTTTTCTATGCAAAAGTATATCTTACTTTTCCTGACAACCTAATATAATGGGGAGGTGAAAGCTGACTTGTGTCATGAATGAAATACAGAAAATGTGCTGTGGGAATCAGAAATGGAGAAAGGGACTTCTTTTTTTTTTTTTTAGAGAGATTTTTGCTGTAGGCCACATGCATTCATTGGAGAGACAGAGACAGAAAGTGAGAAATCACTCCTCTCTGGGAAGGCCATGTCACAGTCCCTTCTTATTCATTCTCCTCTTGGGATTTTGGGCACACAGGCACATGTGCCCGACATGAGTTTTAAGCTGCCAGGTCCAGTTCTCAAACCACAGTTGTCTAAGTGAGAGTCCAGCAACGTAACCATTACACCATCTACTGTTCCTGAAAGGAAATTTTTTTGGTTGGAATCAGGAGTAACTTCATGGCTTTTTTTTTTTTTTTTAAACATAAAGTTTGATGAACAGGGGGTGGCTTCCAGGATGTGGGGATTGTAGGCAAGGCTGTGAGAGGAGTGCAGCTCCATGGCTGCAGTGAAGGAGATTGGGGTGGACTGGCAAGAAAGGAGGAGGAGGAATTCAGCCCTTCTTATAGGATGGTGATCAGACTGTTTCTACTCTCTCTTTAACTTAAAAGTCAAGACTGCTTTAACTTTTAGTCTTTAATCTTAAACTTTTAAATGCCATTTGATCTTTAAAAATATCATATACTTTAATAGTAGATCTTAAATCTATGTATTTTTCTTATTAGAATATATAGAGGCTATAACTTACTGCCAAGTATAACAGATGTCACTTTGGAAAATAACCTTTCGCGAGTTATTGCAGCAGTTTCTCATGAACTAATCGCATCAACCACGCGAGCGCTCACAGTAAGTCTCTGCCTTGGTTGGTCTTTATGAAATTAATTTTCAGTATGTTTAGTTATATGGTCCACTTAGTGGTGAGATGCTTGTAATTAAGAGCTCTTACTTATTGTGGGATTTGCTAAGAAATTGTGTATCTGTGACTAGAATCTTAAATTAATTCTGTTTTTTTTTTTTTTTTTCTTTCTTTTTGGAGAGGTTTTTGCTAGAGGGCGT